GTCCAAAGATGCTTCTACGAGTATGCATCCCATCCATGGCCAGGACGAGTTGGTACCCTTCCCTTGTAAGGAAAGAAAATAACGAAAGTGCGAGCTGCCTCCTCCAAACCGAAGAGCGTCTGAAAGTGCTCAGAAACATGAAAAATATTTCAAGACCCCTACCTCAAACTGTTTCCTATCTGCTTGCAAAACGTTTTGTACGTTGGCGCGCAGTAAGTAGATAAACCGGTATCAAGCACCTGTAAATGGTTTCTAAAAAACTAGAACGAAACCAGTAGGTAAAAGTTCAACGACCTTCATCAGTAAGAGCTGGAACGCGACCAAGGAGATGAATTGATCGCCTTTATCGGAAGCTAAAATTTACAAAAAGTATGGCATGCGTTGCTCAATTTCAAATGTAATGAGGACGAACTCGAACTCGAGAAGTAAAGGTAGGCCAAAGAGTAGAGCTCTGATATAGGCAGTTGATCGAGGAGCCCAGTGAGATCTGCCTCGTTAATCGTAACCAGGGAGAATTCGCCCTAAATTCCACCACACATTCTTACAGTTCTTACACTTAGAGTGGAGTAGTAAGTAAGATGAACCTCTTCCTCATCTCCACTCAAAATTGCCCAGGTTGAGTCTTCACTTTCTGACAAACCTATTTGGCGCAGGAACGTCTCGCGTGCTCTGCAAAAACCTTACTAAAAAGTTGTCTCAGGAAAACCAACAAAAGAGACTTACGAAATGGGATTCATTAGATGAGAGAGCATTGTAACACAGTAGTCGACTTTCACCTTTGGCGGAGATGGAGCCTAAAATCGTTTAACCTTGCAGGAGTTTTTCATCATGCATCGTTCAGACTTCGCGATGACGCGCGTCAACGCGCCAATTGCAGCAGCACTCCAATCTTATTACGCGAACACAGCCACAGACGGGATCGATCGGCACCGGCAACTTCTGTAAGAGAGTGGTAACGATCGGCGCCGGCCGCGACAGCTTTGAGAGAGTATAGGGAAGAGAGATACAGCTCCAATCGATACCCTTCTGTGGCAGTCTATAGGACTGGAGCATTGCTGCACTCGTAGCACGTCGTCGCGCGTCATCGCGAAGTCTGAACGATGCATGATGAAAAACTCCTGCAAGGTTAAACGATTTTAGGCTCCATCTCCGCCAAAGGTGAAAGTCGACTACTGTGTTACA